AATTAATGAACACAGAAACAAACGAATCAGTAAATAAATCACTTAATGAAGGGGGGTGGATGATGATCCAGGTAGGAGAAATATATACATGAACATAAGAACGAAACAGTGTATTTATAAAGTTAACACTTTAATGTAATCCTTTTTTAAAAAAAATATTTACAAGAAGTTTTAAAATACACTGGTTGAAGGAAGACTTTATACTTTCTAGTTGCTTTGTTTTTAGAGGCTGGGACAGCTTAGCTGATTGCAAGGATTAGGTGAGAATAACGATCATATTAACAGGATGACATCTTGCAAATGTATGCAGTCAATGTTCCATTATGCGACATGTGTTGCGTCATAGAAAGGCTATATTTGTTATAATTGCGTGGAAACTTTGTACTTTCGTCTTTCCGTCGTCATTCCCAACAGGACTAATTTCGTCATTACGTTGGGGGATATAATAAGCTGGAAACGTCACTCTAGATAATCACTATACCACGACAGGCCACCAAAATTAAATTTCCCTGTAATGATTTATATCATGATGATGTCGTTATGGTCTAGTGAATTATGTCACTGGACTTTGCATCAACGTAACACGGATTCAAACATGATTGATTGCACTCTCCGAGTCGTACTATCGCATGTTAGCAACAAGTATTCCCCTCCATTGCATTCCTGCCACGGTGCTTTTCAAATTTTCGACTGAAAGTTATTCCGAAAATCCAGTTGTGTCCCATTTCTTTTCTTTTCATTTGTTTTTATTTGGGTCTATGTGTGTGTTTATTTTTTTAATTAGACCCACCCACAGCTTTTAATTTTTCGACAAGAGCCCCTCTTTAAACCAGCGTTGTAATATTGTATGATATTAAACGTACCATAAGAGCGTAAAGGCGGATACGGGCTACCCGGAGCCATCATCTTCTTTACCCTTCTCTTTCGTGGACAAACATTGACCTAATTCCTGGACGCATTATTTCAGGCCATCGCTCGGGTATGAATGGATGAAGTAAGAAGGGATGATGCAGGTGAAAAAGAGCGTAACACCAAACCGATGAAGCAATATCGTGAATAATTTGTCTTCAGGTAACTTAAGAAGGTGTAACGAGGCGGATTTTATCGCGTTTAACTCTACACACCTGTATCGTTTATTGCGCTACACTGGAAACGTCTACTTCCTAGGAGGATCCGGAGATTCCTGAAGGGAGGAGATGGGGAAAGGCAAAAATATCTACCAAGTTTGGTCAACGTTATCTAAAAATAGCCGCTCATGCGAGTTCATTCATTGTACTGCAATAGTGATGGCGATGGCGATGATGACGATGATGATAGTTTGCCTAAGTCGATATGAGGGACTGTTTTTAAGGGGGGGTCCACAGTTACAAGACAAATTGAGGAGCAAATAAGGAAAAATGAATAGTAAATATTTTTTTATTGAAGAATGACGTGATGGGAATTTCGATGTTAACTTATGAATGATTGTCATTGACTCTGAATACTAATCAGAATATTAGTGGTGAATGGGTGAATGGAATAGAGGAGGCGAAATGATGATCATCAATGAACTATAATCTGATAACAAAATGAAGTATATTTATGCAATTACCAGAGTGAATTGAACATAAATTGGCCCTAATTAGGACGATATATTAGCAGTGTTAATGACGTAGTCGTCTCTCTTATTCTCATTATCATCATGACTATCATCTAAGACTACATGTAGATATGCATATATGTACGGATGACGAATAAACAAATGGAAATGATGAAGTTGGTGAAGTTAAGCAATTATTTAATAACATCAACGACACAAAGGTACAAACAAAAATTGAAAATAGATTTTAGCTTTTGATAGTAGGCTTCTTTTTTTTTTGGCACAGCCCCAAACCATATTAAAAAACCATTGGTTTGTTTTAGACTGCCATTTGCATTACTGGAAAACCAATAAGAATATTTTTTTTGGGGGGGGGGTGGGCGAGTAGAGCGTTTTCGACTCCACGGATGCGAAATGAGTCACATGACCGAAAACTGGAATCTTTAATCTTTTTGAGAGCGAGCATTAACACTGCAAAAATCTGTAAAATTTCTGCCAACGTTTAAAAAGTACCACGCACCAGAATTTGGTTTTCGATTTGGGTTCTTCGCCGTGTTTACACGTACATTGCTTTGTTGCGGAACACCGAAATGTGAAAAAAATCAACGAATTTTGATTGCAGTTTAAAGACAGCTATTGTAAAAAAAAAATGAAATTTTCGAATGAATAGGGTTTTTGTTGTAATAGAGAATGATTATGGTAAAGAATATGGTGGTATCTGTTTACTTGTATATAACATGTTCAATTCATTGAAAGATAGTATGGTATTCTCAAATTATATACCATAGCTCAGGCCAGAGCCGCAGATAATATATGACCGTGCCAATCATCCTTGTTCTTTTGTGGAGTATTGCGCATTCATAATTATGAGGTTAGTCAAATAAGAAATCAACAAATTTCACAGTGTCTGTTCCGTCCTACAATTTCCTGTTGCTAAAAGACCCAAGAACGAATTCCATATCCGAACAATCACCGTCTGACCATGGGTCCATGTCTGAAGATACACAAAAACACCGGAAATTAAAAGGGCGGAGAAAATGGATTGAAAATGTATGATTATTTTCAAGTAAATCAAATTGTTATTCAGATTCTATTTTGGGGAATAAGATTCCGAGGATACTTATTTTATTTGATGTAGATGATGAAAATGTGAAAAGCCGCTAGGAAAATATATCATACATGTATATTTATACCCATTGCAATACACAATCAGATAGTATGATTAGGAGATTATTTGTTAGTGATATATTACTTTTCAGAATGCTTCATGATGTATACATACAGTCAGGAAACGCCTTTGCGTCCAGTATTTAGTAGTGGTATCGATCCCTAGAAACGGAGCAACCCCAGCCCAGTTCTCATTTTTGTCATTTTAGGTCCAATTGATTGTGGTAAGTTTTTTATTTGTGATCTACTTATTCATTTTTTCTCCGGGATGAGGATATTACGTCAGTATTTTCCTTGAGTGTCCTAGTGTAGCACATGGTCGGGATTCTCGACAATATTCGTTTCAATTAATTACATATTGCTTGATAAAATGCCTATGACAATGATGCAGTAATAAAATCCCTTTCCAAGGTTATTGACGCGGTGTTAATTGCAATCTTTTTTTCTTTTTGTACGTGTGCCGCCTTAGAAACAACGCCATTATTGAGTGACCATTTGGTTCCTTTCTTACCGGATGTGCCATTCAATTCTTCATGTCTTCGAAATAAAATGACAGAATCTGCTTATAACCCATGCAACTTCATTATTTTTTTCAGATTCCATTATGTAGCCATGCGGTCCTGAAAAAGCGATATGCAGAAGATAAAAAATAAGTTATTTTTTCTGAAATGTAAATGACGAGGACACAACCGCACTGAATTGTTGCAAAACTTCAACTAGGGCATATATTTTGTATTGTGAGCCCCCCCCCCCCCCCCCTTTTTCTGCGACCAGAATTATTAAAATGAAGAGAGGGCTTAAGATACAACACATAATAAAAAACGAAGTGTTAAAAACAAGTGCTGTATTAGGACTTGCATTTGCAGTGGTTAATTTAGCACCTACAAGCGCAGTACCTGACACAAGCTTTGTTTGTGCAGACAAAAAGGTGCTAAAAACAATGGGACGGATGAATTAGCAACTGAAGAGCTATAATAATTTGCGTTTTGTTTGTATCTTTTTTGAAGAAAATTATAACAATTTGGCTTTAGTCTTTTTTATACAAATGTAATGATCTATTATCTCAGTCAGCATCGACACTCAGTTGATAAACAAACAGCAAAAATAATAATTCAGAAATGGTGAGTTTCTAATTGTTGTTAAGTTACTACCTTTTATGATTTAATAGCCATTTTTAATCACGAACAATACGAATTGTACAAATAAATGAATATCATGTAATGCGTATTTTAGGTGCTGTTAATAGCCCCTGGGTCTGTTCGTCAGCACACTAAGTGTAAAATAAAGGTAAAAAAGCAGGCAGCACCTGCACTGGTTCTAAATCAGCACTGCTATACTGCCGTCACCGCTGTATAAAATCACTTGAAAAGTGCGGAAAACAGCACCTTTAATACATACTTTTGTTTTCTTTCTTTTGTTATTGTTTAGGGTTGCTGTAAAAGGTAGCACCTGCGTTGGCGCTAGCATCACTTAGCCTGCCGTCACTCTAAAAACTCGTTATAAGCGTTAAAATCCAATTTTTGAACGCTAAAATTTGCACTTTTTGTGATTCTTTTTCTTTTCTTCAACGGAAGCGGAATAACCATTTATATACCCTGTTAATGTTCAATGGATCGTTCCCAAGCATTGGAAAGTCACTCTTTACTGTCTAAATGATAATTTAACGCTATAAAAAGTGAGGAGAAAATAAAAGAGATCATAGTACGATTTGCCAGGATGACCAAAATGTGTTTTAAATTGCAAAGCTCTTACCTAAATCACGTAAATTATTCGCGATCCCGAAAAATAATATATGATTTACCAAAGACTTCACTAGAATGCGAAGTTATTGACTAAACGGCAAAATGCAAAGAGCTCTTCATATTGGATGATCGGGGTATAGCCCTATGACGTAGCCCCCCCCCCCTCCCCCCCCCCCCCCTCCCCTGCAGTTCATACTGCAGATTGGCTCAGCCACCGTGCTATTTTTTTCTTCACTCATTTCGGTACTGTCTGATAGGACGCGGTTTTTGCGAAGATAACATGATAATTCATGAACTACAGCATTTAGGAATGAAAAAGAAAGAAAGAAAATCTAGTTTTAACGTATGGCTGTTTGGAGGACGTTATGCGCGGACTCTGTCAGAAGGCTGGATGGTCCTGCGTATGTCGGTACATCCGTCCGTCCGTCCGTCCGTCCGTCCGTCAGTCCATCAGCAACCTACTGCCGACATACTGACGTACGAAAAATCCTGTAGGTATGCAAATTGCAATTATCGCGAGCGTGATGCGTTAGGTTTAGCTGTCATCATCGAGTGGGAACGAGAGAGAGAGAGGAAAAGAAAGAGAGAGACAGAGACGCGACGTAAACACACTAGCCACAGAATGGTCGTCTGCCAGCCGAATTTTGCATCTGACACCTTTCCCGCGCCCGCCAATTTATTATTCCAATGTCACTGACCATCGCCTGCTCGCATTTCCGTTCAAGTTTTTTTCGTAATTCAAACAGGCGACCGTCTTCTTTTCCTCAATATCATAATTTCAACTCCGCACAGAAATCAAAATGCGATGCTAAATCATTTTGATCGCAGATTTTGTTACTTTGCCATTGATCTGATGTCATTATATTCGTCGATATTCTATTCTGCCCTGCATGGATGAGAAGAAATTGAATTGAAAGAGTTTGTTTGGGATCGCTGGCTGCTTAGGGCGGCAGCAACACATGCAGTGTCAACCTAAAGAAGGCATACAAGAGCAGACACATCTAGGCAAACAACAGCTGAAGACAACCTTATACAACCCGTGCAGTCGAGAACAACATCAACCGTAAGTAAAACATTTTTTCCGAAATAAAATTATAAACAACTCGTGTCCGTTACACTTCCAGATTGTACAGTACGATTCTTGTGAATATGCTTAGCGAAAAAACCGCAACTTTATTAAGAATTAATCGTGCGTGTGATTTGAAAAGAATGAGATGCATTGCTTTCGTTTGATGAACATGAAGAATACAGAGGCGTCGCGCGGTTTTAACCACCATCACCGCATGATGGAGGGTCGGAAGCATAATTTCGCTGCGTAATTTTTACCGGTTTCTCACAATATCATTATCTTGAAAGAATGATGATTATATGATTCATTAAGGGTATTTATATTTAGGTTAATAAGAACGATGTTAGATAAATAAAAGGATATTTCTTGAATTTCCTATTACTACTTGGAATATCCTCTCTTTTTTTTAGGTGAATTAAACAGTGTTTCGTTATTGATTATTTATGACAGATTTCCTAGTAGATTCAAAGTGATAACAAAACAAGAACTCAAATATGCATTTACATACAATGGCGAATTGATAATTTAGATGCACAAAACTGAAGGAGAAAAGGCTTTCTTTCAAATAAATTACCGGAATATTCACCATAAAAATTCCTGTCCAGTTGATGGAATTATATTGAAATATCATGCACACATTGGTCAATATAAACGACCATTAAACAGACGCAGCTTAACACATTGAATAATGCACCATCACAAATGATAGGTGTGCAATATTTAACTTTTGCTGTTACAAATGAGTCTTGCCTGTAAAGGTGATGTGGTCTTGTTGTTAAATCACCCAACATCGCATAAAAAGCTCCAGGGTTCGAATCTCTGCTACAATACCTTTCATTTCAAATCTACTTCAATTTTCAATCCACTAATGCGAAACGAACAAACATTATCTAAAAAGACATGCACAAATAAGAAGGTATTTTTTAAGAACATGAGCAAATGCGTAAGGGGTACTCGAAAATGAAAAACAGAAATCATCGTGGACTACATCTTCCTACAAAGAAAATTGTATACCATATAAAAAGAAATACAAATCATTTCCATAAATGCGCTGAGTGCAATGGTTGCTAGTTGATAAAGGCGGATACTTTTTTAAACACATGAGACAATGTCAAAGGCACATCGGGATATTATATCGCAATGTGATATGCGCTATATAGGAAATATAATATATCATCGTTGATATATATTTTCAAGATTTAACAAAACCACAAACGATGCTTTCTTGCCGATGATTTGAAGATGTCTAACTCTCTTAGGCCTGTATGTATAACAAAATGTTGTGTAGAAATGAATAGCACGGATGAATGTATCTTCTATTGATACCAAACAGTTCAACTTTTGTCAAAATGATAATGTAAAATTATAGTTTCTTAACAAATCTGTATAGAACATTACTACTCTCCACAGATATTTACATTGCTTCATGTATACTCTCATATTGAATGTTATACTTAACAATACTTAACATCACATGCAAATTCCTAAGTGGAACAATATATGCATAATCATAACCTAGTTCCTAAGACACCGCCATAAAAAGAATTAAACGACAAACAATATTGTCGTATTAAGTAAATTATTTCCGTGATTATGATCGTCATAATATTGTTATGTTGGGTAGTCTATCCGATTGGGGATACCCCGTCTTTGCCAACATGTTGAACAGTTATTATAAAGGAAACTAAACGATATATGTTATTCCTATTAAAGGTTTGAATAGTATTCATGAGCACGATCTTCAGAGTGTATTATCTGTACGCAATAGTGTGGTTACAATGATTTGAGTGGGGGGGGGGGGGGTCTCTTTCTTCTTTTTTTCTTCGTTTTATGCATGAAAGGGGTTAAATCGAATTAACCACCACTATATATTAAATGATTAAACATAAACTAGTTTTGAATACACCGCCATAAAAAAGAATTAAACGACAGACGATATCATGTAGTAAGTTAAATATTTCCATGATTATATTTGTTATGATAACGGTTATGTTCGGCAATTTAGGATATCCCGTCTTTGCCAATATTTTTGTTGAACAGTTATACAAAAATAAAACTCAATTTCACGAGTAATTTTAGAGTCTATATTAAAACGATATACTTTATTCCCATAAGGGGTTGGAATATCATCCATGAGCACAAGCTTCAGAGTGTAATCTGACAGCACATCTACAATAGTGTGGTTGCAATGATTTGAGTGGGGTTTTTCTTCTTCTTCTTCTTTCTTCCTTTCATTTTCTCTCACTCAACGCAAAAAGGGGTTAAATCAATGGAAAGAAGAAAGTGCTACATATTGACAAGCATATTCTCGTTTGTACGACGCAATCAATCAGGAGCCAAATCGGTTTTATTTCAGTGATTCAATGCCCATGCTTGTGCGCAGCAGGGAGGATAGATAATCTCACATCCCTGGGCGCAGTAGACATTGATAGTATATCACAGAAGAGGTTCGTCTGATCGGTGATGTAACTCGAACATAATTTCTTTCTTCCACTGATTGTGAAAAGAGAACTAATTAGTAATGTATGGGTTACACATGTACTTTATACTGAGAACATCGAACAAAATTTGACTAACGAATCGACGAGAGAATGAGTCAGTTATTAAATAATATCAACAGGAGGTTTGTACTATTATAAAAAGGCCTCTTCAGAGGCCCCTTCAAATCGAATTCGATCGAGAAACAAATTAGTCCGTTTTATGAATCAGTTTTTATTTTTTTTATGAATAATCAATATCTCTTCTTCTTCTTCTTCTTCTTCTTCTTCTTCTTCTTCTTCTTTTTCTTCTTCTCCTTCTTCATCTTCTTTTCCTTCTACTCCTTCTTCATCTTCTTCATTTGATAAGTGCCGATAAATCTAACGAGATTTTTTTTTTTTTTGCATTGTACCTCAATTCTCAATGAAATTAAATTCTGAAATGACATACCGACATCTCCCCTCTTTTCGTCTCTCTCTCTCTCTCTCTCTCTCTCGCTTTGTCGCTTGTATAACGGTGCCCCCCCCCCCTCTCTCTCTCTCTCTCTCTCTCTCTCTCTGATTTTGAAATCAACAACTGATCGATCATTTTTACATAGCCATATTCTTCCAATGGAAACTCCCCGCATTCAACCATAGCATATCAAAACGAAATTTAAAAAACAAGCATGAGTATCCCAGCCAAGATCGAAAGATGGCGTATGTTCAAATTGGGTCTTTACAAAATGGAGAACATTTGAATCATGAAGGTGGGACAGTCCTGGGCCCCGTCTTACAAAGAGTTACGATTGATCCAAATCAATCGTAAGTCCTCCAATCAATCGCAAGTTTGCAGTCTCCAATCTCTTATGTACATAGTTATGATTGATATCAATCGCAAATAAGTTACGATTGATATCAACTCTTTGTAAGACGGGGCCCTGGTCGTTATATTGGCTAACACGGCTCCGTGACGGATTTTACTCTCCTCAAATTTACCAGGCAGAGTTAGTCATGTTGCTTCATTATTCCGTCAAGAGCACCAATTTCGCCCGATAGATTTTTTCTTCTACTCGTAATTGATTTTGCATTTCAATGTCTTTATTGTCCATAAATAATACATCACTTTCATTACATAGACATGATAGAGTTAGCATCAGTGACAGCACAACACTTTCATGGAAGTATATGCCATACAGGTCATTACAAACAGAAAACATGACACTTTAATACACGATTAACGTCTTAATAATCACAGAATGGGCTTATCAGCGGTGATAAAGGGAGCCGTGAAATAAAAGGAAACAAAATTGAAGCAGAGTTCGCGGGCTCATCGATCCCTATTTGTTAGTGATAGAGACGTGTTATGCATCGGGAGCATCCAAAAGGGAAGGATTTGGTGACGATACCGAATCCGTGAAAGGAGCCATGCTCAGCCGGGACACGTACCGTGCTCGGCTGGGTTGGGATGTAGTCGCGTCCCTGACCTATACCAACTCATCGTATCTATCTAGGAGTAGAGTCTCGAGAGGGACATCTTATTCTTAAAGTTTACACTTGATTAACCATTCCTCTAGCAGGTGGTCTTTAAGAGATGCAGAGATGCTATTGATTTAAGGGGTCTCCTTAAGGGGGGTATGGTAACCAATGTAACCCAGGTAGTGGTGGTAGTGGTAGTGGTGATTAGGGAAAGGCTTTTTAATGTAATCGCAAGATGAATTGAAATTCCGACCTTCACCTTCATGTTAACAATTATTATCCATGATCAGTTTTATATGAAATTGTTAGGCTACTGGAAAATAGTTACAGATATACTGGCCACCTTTAAAAAAATACAAATGAATATATAATTGAAATATAAAGCTCTTAACGCCTGTCAGAAGTGTCTTGACGCAATATTTCTCTAATAATTAATGCGATATTGTAGTTTGCTTTAATAATTCCGATCTAGTACCATTAGTTACGTCCTGAATTGCCTGGGTTTTTTTAAGGGCGGTTGGAAAACTTAAGGTTCGCCTAAAAACATTTTCATGATTAGTATTACATGCATATATATTACAGTAAAGGGAAATATAGAATGTTTAAGTGAGAGGCTGGGGTTGGCTCTGTGTCAAGGGAAATTTCCGCCTACTTGGGTTAGGCCTCCTTTAATGAGTTAATCAATCACTAATTAATCTTTAAATCCACCATCATTAGCAGATACCTTACTGGTTTATGTATACATACATAGGGACGAGGAATATGAATCAGGTCAGATGTGTGGGCGAGACTAAGACTAACACACAGAGGTTGTTATTAATTAAAGCACTCTCAGATGTGAAAGGGATTGATAGACATTTTAATATCCCATAAGTCTTTAATTGAAGTGGGTAGCTTGCGTGCTGGCACAAGCACTTCAAAATGAAACCTGATATTCAGAAGCTTACCATCAGCTATGCACTAACTAAACTAATAGCTGCCTGATGATGGTGAAGAGCATATAACATATACAACGTATTATCAGTGCCTCTACAGGATAATCAAATTTAATTATAAAGTAATTGTTATTGTCTCTATTAAAAATCCAATTAACAGTATTCTAATAGAGATATGACCAGGTAAATCTAAGTGGATTTCAGTACATTCCCAAATTTGTGTTAATTTTATGAAAACGTTTATTAGTATCAGAAGTAGCTATAGACTTTATTGGACAACTTGATTAGCACAAGGTTAACCTGCCACAAAGTACACAAGATGTTAAAGATGACTTTCTTCATGCTCGCTTGCGGGTATCGTCTATAAATCTTTTTGTTTAATATAAATTTATTGGTTAAAAAGGCTCCTGGCGTTCCACTATTATTGCCCAATTCATAGGTGAGTGGCAAAATATACAGCGCATTATATTTATAGGCTACCCGTTATATACGGTGTAGACATCTGGATGGAAGTGGCAAGCACACATGTGTTATTAATGTCTTGCAAAAGGACGTTGGGATTCGAACCATCAACCCTTTGATTGAGAGTAAAAGGAATAAACCACTATGATACTTCCGTTGGTGTTTAAAGATATTTTAACAGTTGTTCTGTTTAACGAAACAATAACTTGTGTGACAATGTAACGATGATAGTTGTTTTATGGGAGTTATCGAACAAAATACCAGCTATTAAGATTTAATCAAATGAAGAGCGGAGTGAGTATTCAATCATAATAGTTCTGTTCCAACAGAAAGAGCTAATAATATGAAAGTAAGAAAGCCAAAGCTCATCTTAAAGAAAGGGGGAAATCAGTTTTCCTAGCGCTTAACCTTTTCATTGAACATAGTGGCAAAGTATTTTAGATTAAGATTGGTAAGTGCTAGAGGAAGACAAAACATCCGTTAATAATGGGAAGTCCACAAGTCTGTTACTATACAAAGGATGGAAAAGTCATTGAATAACTTCTTAGAATGAACTCCTTGGAATGTAATCTTTGTAGTAGGATGTCGGTAAGGAAGGAAACGGCTCGATCTGATTGAAGAAGCATCGACAATTTTTATATCATTATATGATTATCCAAAGTTCGAATTTTTGCAGAACGACCTTTTCTTGCTTTATTTATAACTTTCAAAATGTACAAAATGATCTCGTTTGATATTGGTTTTAACGTTTTATAAGTATCCATAAACTTTTCTTATAAAGACATATGCGGCTGATCTATTAAAGCACGAATCACTTATCACTCATCATAAAATGATTCAGAACGTATGCGTTCCATCCTGCCCATAGCAACAAGAGGTGTGTGATACAAATAATTGTGTAAAAGAGGTTATAATGTCTTTATTGTCACCGCCAGCTCAGCAAACACCATAATACAAAGTCGCTCCAATTATTGACCACTTCTTTTCAATTTTAGAATATTGCACTCGGTTTCATTTTGATACATAGCCTGTGGCATCATTTTTGTCTTAATAAAAACGGAAAATACGAAACTGATCTGTGATAGTTCGGGGGGGGGGTCCTATTAAGTACGAGAGAGTTTTTAAGTTTGATAGCAGTCATCAATACCACATCGGTTCGTTGTGCAGTAAGCATTTTATTTCTTTTTGAACAGCTTTTGTATCCTACATAAAATTGTCATTTTCTTCCACATTTCATTTTTAATGCCTAAGCCCTAAATTTATGTCTTCACATATTCATTTCCTTTATGAAATCGAGGGTTTTACCTTCATAAATCATGCGGTCTTTTTTTAAGGGATTTCGATAATGTTCAGAACGAAGAGAAGTTGGTACCGAATTATTTCATGTATGAAGACTTTATAAATAAAAGAATGCAGTGGTCAATAGGGTACACAAGCGAATAAGAATGGTGATGGTGGTAGTGGTGATGATGATGATGATGATGGTGGTGATGAAGATGATGGTGATTGGGATGATGATGATGATGGAGATGGTGATGGTAATGGTGATAATGAGGGTGATGGGGATGGTGATGATGGCGATGGTGATGGTGATGGTGATGGTGATGGTGATGATAATGATAAGGATAATAATAATGATGATGATGATGATAATAATAATAATAGTAATGATGATGATAATGATGATGATGATGATGATGATGATGATGATGATGTTGTTCGTAATAATGATAATAACAACAATAATACATTTTCTGTTTCTTCTTACATTCATTCTCAGATCTCTGTGACGTCACAACCCCAAAGATCAAGGTGATATCAACGTCACACGATACATTCCATCACTAGATCACCATGGCAACACTAACCACGACACAATCTTCATTGTTGATGTTGGCCCTGATTCTCCTCTCACTGACTACGTCATCACTGGTCCTGGCTGACTGCCGTAAGCTTGGTCTTCAGTACAAACTCGCCAGACCAGGTTGCCGACCAGTCACCTTGGACTCGGTAGGCTGTAGAGGCACCTGTAGCGGCTACACAAGGATATCACCCAATAATTACCTCGAGGTGGAACGATCCTGCACCTGTTGTCAAGAGATGGGTTTCCTAGAGCGCACTCAACGGTTACAATGCCCCACCCTTAATCCTCCCTTTCGTGACGTCACATATAGGATACCAAGGCGTTGTTCGTGTCGTCCATGCCGGTCAGTGGCGAGTGTGAGTCGAGTTCAGACGCTAGAAGATCTACGGCTGGGTTGAGGTCTAGGACCTAGGTCTCTTATATGAACTATAATACTTGTGTCCAAATGTCAGATTTACAGAGTACTATTTTTATGACGAAGACGACGACGACGGCAATGGTGACACTGATGACGAATTGCACATCCAGTGTGATAAAAAATTGAAAGATTTTAAAAATCGTGCACATACCTTAATCATATCTTCTTCTTTTTCTGAGTTTATGTGTTCATTCGATATTAACGATTTGAGATATTAATTATGTGTATGTTGCGGTTTTTAAGACAAAACCTAAACAAATTTACTTTGAACCGTGAAATTGGTTTACTGGATAGGGATTCATCTGTAGGTTCGGGATATATTAATGCTTTCTGACTCGTTTTTATCTTAAATTTCGTGAGACTTTTTTTGTTTAGAAATATATGAACGAATCTTCAGATACATGTATGATAATAAAGTCAAGCGCAGGTGGATTTAGTAAAAGTCATTTGATGCGAGTCGATTTAATTTAAAAATTGCTGTTACATGATCACAAGAGCGAAATAGAATCTTAGCCGCCACCCCCCCCCCCCCTCCCGGGCCGCCCCCTCCTTCCACCACCAGGTAAACAAACAGATAAATAAAATAGCTACCATTGAGTGACTTGTAGAAGAGTTTCCTCCTATTTTCTCACGTCTGAATGGTCCTTTCTCCATTCCCCCATGCCAGTAAAGGTCTCAAGAGTGTAATATTGATTCTAGAAAGGTGCTACAATTTCCGTATTAAATCTAGGGTCACCGAACGCCCCTACAGCATGAAAACTTACGTATGTCGGAGCCCAAGCTTCCATGAAAGAAAGTTCTTTCATCTGAATGTTTAAGCATTTACGTTTCATCATGTTAATGTACGTACGTCTATATTCATGTACATCATGTTCTATAAATACACGGGGGTTCTGGTTTATTTCTCTCCTGGGGCTATGAACAATGCCCCTTGTTTCTGTCCAAGTAATATTGGCAGATCTCCTCATAGAGGGGGGGGGGGGGGCAGGTAGCAAATGCCGGACATACAAACATGATATGATTATACTTATTCCAAAGGACTATTCAGGATACACCTATCTCTAGCTTTTACTTAAAAGTAAATCTAGGAAACGATTTTTTTTTAAACTACTTTCGGAAATGACTGCTGATATGATGAATTACCATGTCGTTGTATTGATATTTGTCAATTTGAAATGACTTGATTTATCTTACAAACTTCATAATGAAACGATTATTATCACGTGTTTTTGTTGAAGACTTTCCCTATCATCTATATGATCTCTGTGCCCAATCCTTGATTTTTTTTTCTCGCAACCATCCATTTTTGTTTCAAATGTTCCTTCAAGTTGCCCCAAAGTTGACGATTGACATTTTGTGTATAGCCCCTATTTTCCTCCAATGAATTACTTTCCACCTGCTTCTCGACTACACTCGTATTATCATCGATTTACACGCAAAGTAGACAGGCTGAATTCCGTTTGGTATATCAAGCGTAAATCCCGCCCAATTTACAAGTAAAAGTCAGGACATTCATTCGAACAAAACCTCAAGTGTTTTCCACTTTTTAAGTCAATGGGCGTATAGATGCATCCAATAGTTTACACATGCAAACGAATCAATTGGTGGGTATTCGGGCATAGTGATGTACAAACTTGCAGGGTTTTGTGCACTATTCTCAAGCGAAACAAAGACAATCATGAGGCGAAGACGACTAGTCAGACATGCTAATCGGCTCGTTGATGCAGTCTTTAATAGATCCTTTTCGAATGGTTTCATTCGTGATAAGTGCACAGTTTTCGGTGCCAAAGCAATAAGTTCTGATGCTTTAACAATCTTCATTACACCACGAAAGATTGATATGGTTCAGGGCACAACCTGGCTTATAGTCAACATTCCATATTTTGTAATATTAAAAGGAGAATTAACCCTTCATAGAATATCGGCTTCAGTCCAGGCGTAACACCCAGACAAGCATAATCGCTAAATGTGTGAGAAAAAAAATACAAAAAATGAGACAAAGTATGAAAAAGTTATACATTTTCACAGATGAGGTCACTAGTGATAACGAATATTTCCGAGCAGTAAAACGAATGTTATGTGTGATGTCAGGAATGGAGTTCATTCTTTCATTGTAAGTGTGTACAACAGATTTAAACTATACCATTCTCAGTTCAAATGGTTTAAAGATACTATGTCCCATTTGCAGGCCAACAAAAATGAAAAGGTTAAATTCCAACGGCATTTGAAAGATAATAGTAATATATGTAGAACTTCCCTTAAAAAGGTGGGGCTTGAAAATGTCTTCAAGTGGGAAAATAATGACTATTAGTTGTCAAATCGACTTAGGAGCTATAGAGCCAATAAGTAATAGTCTCGATTTTCAGACCATTGTACTGAATAATCATGCGTGTTATGCTGCGCAAAGATGCAATCAGTTTAATTTTGGCCATCACAAGAAGTGGGTTATTGATATAGACAAATGCTCATGTACCCTTTACATCTCATTTTATGTATGTTATTACCAAAGAAGAAAAAAAGCCAGTCAGTCACTCAATAGTGTCTGACAGTGAAGTCTAGCAAGTAAACAGGTTTCATTGCATAATTTGAATATTAGGACACTGCTAACGTTTAAATTTCACAGATGGGACATAAAATACATGACATATTCATAATTCCTGCAAAGTTCTACAGAATTTGTGGTTGGCTGCAAAAGGGACATAGTACCTTTAACAGATTCAATGTCCATCTTAGGTCACTCGTTCGCCCGTTACTAGTGAAACGCCTGATTCTGAAAGGTTTAAAAATTATGGTTGAATACAAATAATGATTATGATATTCGATGACCAGGGTACTTTGCAACGCGTTCAGAGACATAGAGAAAGCCCTAAATATAGCCATTGAATATATCTTCACAATATTTGTAATATTACATTGTTCATGTGGAAGTTAACATTTTATCCCCTATGAATTTTTACTGTGCATTTTAAAGTTGTAAATGTTTGATTGTGTCATGCGCTCATTGGTATTTTATTGGTATTTAATATATCGTTTAACTTATGATAATGCCTGCACTTAAGCTGCTGCTGCTGCTGCACTAACATTACATTATAGAGTATTTACTATTTATCTATATATCGTTAAGACCCATTGACAATTTTTGTTTCGGTTGTTAAATATTTATAACAGGGTATAACTTAAAGAGAGGAGATTCGTCGTATATCGGTTGGAGTTTGCGAGCAGGTGCTGCCACATAGTTATTGAGTCTTCAAATGCATCAACATGTACGTAGTTTCTTGCATTCATGCAGTGCCCGATTAATCGGGTCGAGAATTCCCCATTTTAGAGTTTTACCTTTTAGGTTATTTATTCATTCTAAGCAGCTCGTTGTTAGCATTATAATTAAAACAAAGAAGATATATTAATTTATTCCAAATAATAAATATGATAAGTTTGCAATGTGTACATAGATGATGTAGATAGCCGACTTGACATTTTATGTCCAATTGTAAATAGAGCCTTTCATCTCGACTAGGTGTTGTTCTATTCATTCTCACACTCATTTACCATATGCCATACAGTCTTTGAAATCAGTATAGTATAGTGGGTATGTTTAATGTGGTATACGGCACATTTAGATGGGGGTAAAAACATAGCAGGTGCTGATCTGCGAAGACGAACATTGATAATATCGGAGTAAGGCAAAAATGGATGATAGTGACCGTATAATTATGGTTCTCGATGTAAAATACGAAAAATAGGAAAAACTGACGATATAGTTGTTGTTTTGTTTCGACAATTAAAATTCTTACAAAAAAATTGGAATAATCACTTCCAGCGTACTGAGTGTGTCTCCCATGCATGTTCGAAAGGGAATATGACGTAGAGTGATTGCATTGATGCTGAATAATGTGAAAAGAATAAATGAGGAGAGGGGAAGAGGAGGGGAAGAGGAGGGGGTGAGGAGAGGGTGAGGAGAGGGGGAGAGGAGGGGATGAGGAGAGGGAGAGGAGGGGTGAGGAGAGGGGAAGAGGAGGGGGTGAGGAGAGGGAAGAGGAGGGGGTGAGGAGAGGGGGAGAGGAGGGGGTGAGGGAGGGGAAGAGGAGGGGGTGAGGAGAGGGTGAGGAGAGGGGGAGAGGAGGGGATGAGGAGAGGGAGAGGAGGGATGAGGAGAGGGGGAGGAGGGGATGAGGAGGGGGATGAGGAGAGGGGGAGAGGAGGGGATGAGGAGAGGGGGAGGAGGGGATGAGAGAGAGGGGATGAGGAGGGGATGAGGAGAGGGGGAGAGGAGGGGATGAGGAGAGGGGGAGAGGAGGGGGTGAGGAGGGGATGAGGAGAGGGGGAGAGGAGGGGGTGAGGAGGGGATGAGGAGAGGGGATGAGGAGAGGGGGAGAGGAGGGGATGAGGAGAGGGGGGAGAGGGGATGAGGAGAGGGGGAGAGGAGGGGTTGGGAGAGGGAGAGAGGAGGGGATGAGGAGAGGGAGAGGAGGGGATGAGGAGAGGGGATGAGGAGGGGATGAGGAGAGGGAGAGGAGGGGATGAGGAGAGGGGATGAGGAGAGGGGGAGAGGAGAGGGAGAGGAGGAGGGGATAAGGAGAGGAGAGGAGGGGATGAGGAGAGGGGATGAGGAGGGGATGAGGAGAGGGAGAGGAGGGGTGAGGAGAGGGGATGAGGAGAGGGAGAGGAGGGATGAGGGGAGGGGGAGAGGAGGGATGAGGAGAAGGAGAGGAGGGGATGAGGAGAGGGGGAGAGGAGGGGATGAGGAGAGGGAGAGGAGGGGATGAGGAGAAGGAGAGGAGGGGATGAGGAGAGGGGAGAGGAGGGATGAGGAGAAGGGAGGAGGGGATGAGGAGAGGGGGAGAGGAGGGGGGAGGAGAGGGGAAGGAGGAGGGGGTGAGGAGAGGGTGAGGAGAGGGGGGAGAGGAGGGGATGAGGAGAGGGAGAGGAGGGATGAGGAGAGGGGGAGGAGGGGATGAGGAGAGGGGATGAGGAGAGGGGGAGAGGAGGGATGAGGAGAGGGGGAGGAGGGGATGAGGAGAGGGGATGAGGAGGGGATGAGGAGAGGGGAGAGGAGGGGATGAGGAGAGGGGGAGAGGAGGGGGTGAGGAGGGGATGAGGAGAGGGGAGAGGAGGGGGTGAGGAGGGGATGAGGAGAGGGGATGAGGAGAGGGGGAGAGGAGGGGATGAGGAGAGG